ATTTTTTTTAAGATTTTTATTTTTGAGTAATGTTACAGTTACAAATTATGAATATTTTTAAAGTTACTCATCTATATTAATTAATCACTTCCCAGAAAAGTTTGGTTTACCCTCAGTTGGACACTTCAACACATATGAATTAGTATATCAGTAGATATTGATCATTATCAAATATTAGTTTTCACATATGAGAAACTGGAATAGCAACATGTTCTTTTCCACAAAAAGACAATGTGGAGAAAGTAACTTACCCAAGGCATCACTCTTACTATGCCCTCAACAAATAGCTACTATTACTTTCAATGGGCTATTTAGAATGTACACATTTATCACATTTGTCACAAGACAAACTCAAAAGTAAATTGTGTGAATTGTTAAAGTTTTTTGTTGTTGTTATTTTGTGTTTTGGTTTTTTTTTTTTTTTATCCTGAAGTGGTCCCCAGCTTCAGAAAAGTGGGGCTGACTTTGCAAAAGATGGCAGGGGGCAACTATTCATTCTGCTCAGTGAGGAGTGGATTTGAAGCATGTGGGCAGTTCTTTTTACAGCACTGTGATCTACAAACTGCCTGGTGCTCTGGAATCAGTAACTCGGAAGCCTGATGTAGGTACTCCCTATTCTTATGTTATACAAGGTGCAAAGGCACATCTCAGAATATCCTGCTCATACCATAGATGGAATTATTATGTGTTAGACATACAGGATGAAGCTGAACCAAGCACCACACTCCTGGTGCTCCAAGTAGTTTATAATTAATAGCAAATATTGACTGGCTACACTGAAACTCTCATGATCTTCTATGTAAGCGGGGTTTCTGCCAAGATGTGATTTTCTTCTTATTTATCAGAAATGATTTTTTTAAAAAACCTACTAATCCATAAATTAAATCTAATTCTCAAGAATAACTTTATAAATTTCAGGTTAATGACTTTTTTTCACAATTAAAAAATATATAAAGATATACAACCTTGAATTTTCTTCTGGCTTCTGCTATTTTATCTTCTAAACCTTCTACTCTATATTTGGCTAGATGGAAGTGAGAACCGATGTGATACGCCTCCTTGTAGAGATATTTGAGAAACTCTTCATTCTTTGCTTTCATTTTCAGCAAAGATTGAATCTCCATCTCATACTCATTTTTTCTCCTTTTGCTGTAAAAAATAAAACCAAATGATTAATATAATGATTGTAATTATATGTATATTGGGGCAAATTAATATGGTTATTCTAAGAGAATAGATACTAGGCAAATATATTAATTAATAATAAAAAAGGGAAGACATTATATTTTATGTTTCCAAAAATACAAAATAACCAATTAACTAACATTTGAATACAGAAAATGTGTCCTAAGTTTCTGTTTCTTTTTCTGTATCTCCTATTGGTTAACCCTGATTGTCAGGCTGTGTTCAATCTTAGAACTTCCACAAGGAAGAATTGGGGAGAAGCTTTCCTTCACCCATCCATCTGCCATGTTGCTCTTCCTCATTCTCTGAAACAGAGATGGAGTTGGTGGGCTGTGGATTGAACCTCTGAAAATCTTGAGCCCCAAATAAAATTTTCCACCTGTAAGTTGTTCTTATGTAATATGCTGTTCATAACTAGGAAAAGTTTATTCACAGTGATAGAATTTATGCTAAGAAAGAATCTGATCTTAATGGAGCCCAGAGCAAGCTTCGAGAATATGAAGCAGCACTGAGGTCTAAAGACACAGCTCTGGCCACTGCACTTGGTGATTTAAAAAGTTTAGAGGGAGATTTAGAGGATTTGAAGGATCAGATTTCCCGGTGGAAGCCTCTCAGAGGCTGCCAAAAGACAAGCAGATGAAACTTCACTTAAAGTGGATTTGGAGAATCCTGGTCAGAGCTTATGGAGGAGGACTTGGAGTTTTGTAAAAACATGAACAAAGAGGAGATTAATGAGACAAGAAGAAAGCATGAAACGTGCTTGACAGAGGTGATTCTGGGTGTCAGATCCAGTATGAATACAAGCTGGCTCAAGCCCTTCATGAGACAAAAGAGCAATATGTGTAAGTGAGGCTGTTCAAGGAAGAGGATGAACAGATTTCCATGCCAAACCTGAGAACCTCCGACTGTCCTCAGAGACTAAGACTTCCAGTGTCAACAGTGCCAAGGAAGAACGGAAGGAAGGTCATGTGAGAATGGAAGGCCTTTCATCTCGACTTTCTAATCTACAATAAAGAGTCTAGAGCATGTTTGGAAATGATTTAAGAGTTGGAAGACTGGTTTGCTAAAGAAAAGAGACAACTCCTCTCACAAGCTATCTAATGGGGGGGGTGGGGGAGGCAGAAACAAGGGATCAGATGCAGCAAAAGCTGAATGATTATGAATGACTTCTTCCTGTTAAGCTAGCCCTGGACATGAAAATCATCACTTGTAGGAAACTCTTAGAAGGAGAGAAAGAGTGGTTGAAACTCTGCACACACTCTTCTTCCCGTGTGAGAGTGTCCCCAGCCTCTTCCAGTCGCAGTGTGGGCACAGCTAGAGGAAAGCAGGAGAGAGTTGATGTGGAAGAATCAGAGGTCTGCAGAGGTGTGAGTGTCACTCATTCCACTTCAGCCACTGGGAATGTGTGTGTTGAAGAGATAGATGTGGATGGGAAATGTATTCAGTTGATGAATGCTCCTGAACAGGATCCACCAAAGGGAGGCTGGGAGATGATCAGGAAAATTAGAGACACATCAGTCACTTACAAATATGCCTCCAGATAGGTGCTCCAGGCAGGCCAGACTGTGGCAATTTGGGCTGCAAATGCTGGTGTCACAGTCAGTCCTCCCACCGACCTCATTTGGAAGAACCAGAATTCTTAGGGCACTGGTGAAGACTTGAAGGTTATTTTGAAAAATTCTCAGGAAGAAGAGGTTGAGCAAAGTTTTTAAAAACTACCCACACCTGAAGAGGAGGAGGAAGAGAAGGAAGAACCAACCAGGGTGATTGTTGAGAAAGAACTTTTCCATCAGCCGAGAGCTTCCAGAGCGTTCAGTAGAAGCTGGGCAATTATGTAAACTTCTCCAGTTGACTGTCTTTCTCAAGATAAACATGTATGGTAATCCTTACCTATATACAGTGCAGAGTCTTCTTAGAAGCACAGAATATTTTTATATTTCCTGTATTGTGAATTTTTAAGCTGCAAATCTGATGAACTTGATTTCCTTTTTAACACTGAAATTTTGTAAATGAAATCATACCCATAACACTTTGTTGCAAGATACGAATTTATTGACACTGTACTGTGTATCGTGTAGAAAGGCTCCCTCAAAAATTTTGGCTTTTTTTTTCTTTTTTAACACGTATAATATATATTTTCTTTAAGTTCCTATGAGAAGGGGAGGGGAGAGAAAATAAACCCATTGTGTGTCTGGGTGTAATTTAAAGATTGCTCCATCTAGATTAGCAATCTTCTCTTGATTACTGTCTGCTATAAGTAACAATGCTGTGAGGGAAGGGTAACCATTTTTCAATATACTGAACTTTTGCACTGAACTTTTTGTACCGTAATAAGCAATCAAGTTTCAAAAAAAAATTTTTTTTTTAACGAAAAGAGAAAATTTTCAAGGAGGCAATATTAACTTAACCCTTATGTTAACACTCTGAATGAAGGATTCCACAAAACATTGTTTTATGGTTTCTTCTCTTAGATTCTTAATTCCTGAGGAAAATGGGAGTGGGGCTTCTCTGTTAAAATACATTAGTTGTGTTTTTAAAAAGAGTGTAACATGTTTCGATCTCTTATGTGATATTAACAAATAAAAAAAGCTGTTTTACTATTAAAGAAAGAAAGAATTGGGAGGTCCCAATGCTTAGCTGTCAGAAGCATCACCCGAGGAGCCTGATTGTCAGATCTCGACCACATCTTCTGAGTCATAACCTGAAAGTAAAATTCCCTCTGTGTTCCTCCCTTGCATCTCCCCTTTTGCCTTCCCTGAAGATGTTTTTACTAGAGCACATTTTAAATGGAATAGCCAAACCAAAAACATGAACTAGAGCAGAGTTGTCCAGCCTCAGTACTATTACATTGGAGTCAGATGATTCTTTGTTAAAGGAAAATATGCCAGTCACTGCGAGATGTTTTGCAGCATCTCCCCACTAGATGTCTGCAGTACCATCTCAGTTATGACAAACAAAAATGTTTCCAGACATTGCTAAATGTCTCCTGGTGAGGGCACAACATCATCCAGTTGAGAAACACTTGACTAGAGCAGGGGTTCTCAACCCTCTCTGTACAATGCATTTAAAGATGTTGTGCTTCCAGATGTTCTGATATAATTGGTCTGGGGTAAAGCTCTAGAATCACCACTTTTAAGCACCCCAGGTGGCTCTAATATGCAACCCAAAAGTAAGCTACCCCTATTGACTAGACAGTGTTTCTCAAATTGAATAGATGTTAAGGGTCACAGGGGGAGCTTATTACGTCAGAATCCTAGGCTCTGTTTTCAGGATATGATTCAGAAGTTGTAGGATAGATCTGCAAATATGACCCAGGTGATGTTGATGATGCTTGGTTGCAGACCACACTTTGTTCAAACAGCACTCTACTCTACTCTAGAGAGTACCATCAGGGAGAAAGTGAGTGATTAGGACTTGTTTAACAGAACACAGAGAAGACTGGATTAATGTGGCCAACTCAGCTGTGGGGAAAAACAAGGAGTAAATTCAACTGATGAGGGGCTGCACTGATTCCTCATTCTTGCTTATTCCAGGACAGAAAGTAAGGGTGATGTAGGGGAAAAGAGCATGCATTCACAGCTTGCCAAAGATATCTTGGCTTACAAATGGGGAAATCATCCCTGTAGAATAACAATGGGGTGGGGGTGGATCAAAGCAGGATTTGAAGAAAAGCAGCAGAAAACTAACTGAATTATCCCACCAGATGAGTGACCTGGATAATGTGCACTGATTCATAGCAGGTTCTGCATGAGCTGTGGTTGCTTGTGAAAAGACCAACTCACTAGGCGGGGCTGTAGGCTTGTAGAACTAGAACCTAGGGCCCTGAGATGACTAGATCCTGAGGTCAAGAAGTCAACCAAGCTGCCTACTATGTCAGCACCTACATTAATATTATCTCTGATATTATCTTAGAGCCATCACTGTGAATCAGAAAAGAGCAACATAAATGACAGGCTTTAAAGAGGGGAGAGTTGGGATCAAGCAGGGTTAAGTAGAAACAAGTTCAAACCTTCAATCGGAAATAGATGAGCATGGGTGTGTGTGTGTGTGTGTGTGTGTGTGTGTGTGTATAAGGGGGACAGAGAGAGACCTATTTACCTAGGCCACACATGTGCTGGTAACACACCAAGGGCATGTCTCCCAGAAGCTGTTCACTCACTTCCAGTCACATGGGTAGAGAGAGAGAGAGAGAGAGAGAGAGAGAGAGAG